GGGGTCAAAATGTAAAAATTATACCCAAAAATAGTGCCTCATAATCGGGTAGAGTCACCTGGAAAGTGCCCTCGCATTCCTCCATGGCTCAAAATGTTGAACTTAAACTATTTTGAGAACCAGGAAAATGTAAAAAATACGCCCCAAAATAGTGTCTCATAATCGGGTAGAGTCACCTGCAAAGTGCCCTCGCATTCCTCCATGTCAAACTTAAAGTATTGAGAGAACCAGGCTGGGGGGTCCTTGCGCCACAAAATTAGGCCCACTCAGAGTGCTTGGTGAGCGGATACATTCTTCCATGATTTGCAACAGCCGTTATTTTTCTGAGTGCACCCAAAAACTGGGTTTCCGATTTCGTGCAGACGGTAGTTTGAAAAGTATGGATGAATCTTTTTGACAGAGAAGTGGAAATGAAGCCCAGGGACTTTTTCCCCTTCTCCGTTGTACCAACCATCGGAGAAGGGGAAAAATCGGCCCGAAGCCCAGAGAGTCTGGCCCCTTCTCCCGTTGGCACTCAGAACAATTTTGACAATTTTTCAAAACTTCATTTTTGATTATTTTAAGATATAATTAAGCGTTTTCTTCACTTTTTTTTGCTTTCCACGGGTGGGGGCGCCTGGCAGGCCGCCTATGAGCACCCAAATTCGGCCTGGATCATCCAGGATTTGTGGGCTAAGCTCCATAAACTGACTAAATCACCCAGAGAGGTCACCTTTCTAGCCCAAATATATATAATACAAATACATTTAAATAGTAAAAGGTGCACTTGTGCTCTGCATTACCCGGAATTTTATTTTCATAGCCCCATGATAGTGATTAAAAATCATTTTCATGGGAAAAAGTGTTAAAACGCCTGATTAAATTATATGCAGGACCCCAGTGAGCTCCAGACTATGTGCATTGTGTTGGGGAACCATATAAATGATAGAATAAATGCATTTAAATGCAAAAATAATGATTTAAAATCATTTTAGGGGGACAATTGTGGAGAGGAGCCTGAAAATGACTGCAGCAGGCCGCCTATGAGCACCCAAATTCGGCCTTCTTGACGCACCACCACCCCTTCTGTGGAGGGTATTCTCGTGCCCCTGGTGACTCTACAAGGGGGGTGGTTTTTATGGTGCTTCGATGTCCGCCCATCAGCATCCATATTCGGCCTTCTTCACGGCATCACCCCCCCTTCTGTGGAGGGTATTCTCGTGCCCTTGGTGGTCTTACAAGGGGGTGGTTTTATGGTGCTTTTGTGTCCGCCCATCAGCATCCATATTCGGCCTTCTTCACGGCATCACCCCCCCTTCTGTGGAGGGTATTCTCGTGCCCCTGGTGGTCTTACAAGGGGGTGGTTTTATGGTGCTTCTGTGTCCGCCCATCAGCATCCATATTCGGCCTTCTTCACGCACCACCACCCCTTCTGTGGAGGGTATTCTCGTGCCCCTGGTGACTCTACAAGGGGGGTGGTTTTTATGGTGCTTCGATGTCCGCCTATGAGCACCCAAATTCGGCCTGGATCATCCAGGATTTGTGGGCTAAGCTCCATAAACTGACTAAATCACCCAGAGAGGTCACCTTTCTAGCCCGCTCACAGAGCCCCCAAGGACGGACTATAGACCTCCAGCAGCAGTCCCCAACAGTGGGACTTCCATAACCTTGCACTCACTTCACTTGTCTCACACACACCCAGGGGGGTGAAAGAGGACACATTGGAGCACACATTGACCTAGCAGTAAGTGCTTGAAACGTGGCTAAAGGTGTGTCAAACAGTGGGGTAACATGTTTCAAATGACAGCACACTGCTGCTTGTTGGCAGGCTGACTCAGTTCACTTGTCTCACACACACCCAGGGGGGGAAAGATAACACTTGTACCCAGGAATAAGTGTTTGAAAGGTGGGGAAAAGTTGTTTGAAATAGTATAATATCTCCAGGGCGCATAACTGCACTTTACAAGCCAGAAATAATGTTTAAATTGTCTGGGAAAGTATTTTTAAATGTCTGGAAGAGAGTTTTAGACAGTCATTTTGCACGAAATCATTTTACATAGACGCTCTCCTGAAAATGCACAGAATATGTGCTTTTTCAGGAGACTGTCAATGTTAAATGATATCTCGCAAAATGACTGACTAAAACCCCGGAATAAGTGTTTGAAAGGCGGGGAAAAGTTGTTTAAAATAGGCTGATACCTCCAGGACGCATAACATGGGTAAAAAGTGTGTTAAAAGGTTGGGGAACATGTTTCAAATGACAGCACACTGCTGCTTGTTGGCAGGCTGACTCACTTCACTTGTCTCACACACACCCAGGGGGGGTGAAAGAGCACACATTGACCCAGGAAAGAGTCCTCAAAACACAGGTAAAAGTGTGTTAAACAGTGGGGTAACATGTTTGAAATGACAGCACACTGCTGCTTGTTGGCAGGCTGACTCACTTCACTTGTCTCACACACACCCAGGGGGGTGAAAGAGCACACAATGACCCAGGAAAGAGTCTTCAAAACACAGGTAAAAGTGTGTTAAACAGTGGGGTAACATGTTTCAAATGACAGCACACTGCTGCTTGTTGGCAGGCTGACTCACTTCACTTGTCTCACACACACCCAGGGGGGTGAAAGAGCACACAATGACCCAGGAAAGAGTCTTCAAAACACAGGTAAAAGTGTGTTAAACAGTGGGGTAACATGTTTGAAATGACAGCACACTGCTGCTTGTTGGCAGGCTGACTCACTTCACTTGTCTCACACACACCCAGGGGGGTGAAAGAGCACACATTGACCCAGGAAAGAGTCTTCAAAACACAGGTAAAAGTGTGTTAAACAGTGGGGTAACATGTTTCAAATGACAGCACACTGCTGCTTGTTGGCAGGCTGACTCACTTCACTTGTCTCACACACACCCAGGGGGGTGAAAGAGCACACAATGACCCAGGAAAGAGTCTTCAAAACACAGGTAAAAGTGTGTTAAACAGTGGGGTAACATGTTTGAAATGACAGCACACTGCTGCTTGTTGGCAGGCTGACTCACTTCACTTGTCTCACACACACCCAGGGGGGTGAAAGAGCACACAATGACCCAGGAAAGAGTCTTCAAAACACAGGTAAAAGTGTGTTAAACAGTGGGGTAACATGTTTGAAATGACAGCACACTGCTGCTTGTTGGCAGGCTGACTCACTTCACTTGTCTCACACACACCCAGGGGGAAGAAATATAACACTTGTACCCAGGAATAAGTGTTTGAAAGGAGGGGAAAAGTTGTTTGAAATAGTATAATATCTCCAGGGCGCATAACTGCACTTTACAAGCCAGGGAAGGGGCCAGAATCCTGGGTATACATTTTGTAAATAGTGCAATACCTCCAAGGCGCATAACTGCACTTTACAAGCCAGGGAAGAGGCCTGAATCCTGGGGTAAACATTGTTTAATTGTTTAAGTGTTTTTAAATGTATGGAACAGTGTTTTGTCTCTTTCAAAACTCTCCCGTCATTGGCCGGATACATGGGGACGATTTTATATTCACTATGACCGTTACTATTCCAGTGAGACGAAGTACGTCCGGTGACGGGAGTGATCCCATGTTAATTTTGTCCAAAAACCAGAGCATTCCCTTATCTTTCACAAACTCAGAATGCTCAGCCAAACGGCCAAGCCTACCAAAAATAGGTTGAACTCGTAGGTGTTCCTCTCCACGGAAGTCTTTAGTAAAAGGCGAAAGACTTATACGCTTTGAAGAGAAACCAGAGTAATTGTGGAGGCCGTCCTCGAGAACAGACAGCACCGCAGTTGTCCCAGTCCAATCCCTCACGGTGACCCTGACTTGGCTTTTCCACCTCCCAGGCCACACCCTTTCCCCCAGCTGCGCTAGAGCTGCGCGAGCATGGTTCATGGCTCTCACCTGTGGCTTCTTTGGCATTGAGTCCAAAAAAGACCCCTGCTGCTGTGCTGCAGTTTGTGCCCCCGATTGGAACCTATCTCTTTAGTAATACGCTTTAGTTGTGTGGGATGTTATACGTGCTGACTCCGTGGCATTAGAAAACACTAGTTTGATGCTAAACATCACATCCATTTAAGGGAGGAACACTAGAATGTCTTTACGGATATAGAGCTTATAATGAAATATAGAAGCGTGGTTGCTTGAAAAACAGTCTTTGTTGGCTGAACTTTTCGCCTCAACTGCCGTATGGTGGCTTGGCTTTATAATTCAGCATTGGTGGTTCAGTGGTAGAATTCTCACCTGCCACGTGAGAGACCCTGGTCCGATTCCGGGCCAATGCAATAGACAGTTCTTTGTTGTCTGAAAATAAAGTACAATGCCTAAACCACTTGGACTCTGCTCCAGCAAACACACAGGTCTTTGGAGTGTACAAGTAAAGAGGGATGTTCTCCGTGCCGACTCCTATTGATTTGAGAACTCAGTAAGATGCTTGACATCAAATCACTGTAAGGGATGACCAGTGGACTGTATCCCTTCTTAAATGACTTAGAGCATATAGCATATCTGTTGAAAAATCCACCTTGTTGACCGTGCTGTTGACCTCGCCAGCGTAGTGGTAGTTACGATGTCTTGTGAATGTGGGCGAATGAGTGGTAGAATCTTTGTAAGCTAAGAGGAAAACTAGGTTCCCATTCTCTGCAAATGCAACATAGCTTCACTGTTGTTTGGAATCTGTACTTGCACACAATTAGAGAGTAAAGCTATTGGGTGACTCTAGGCATTGAGTACAAAAAAGACCCCTGCTGCTGTGCTGCAGTTTGTGCCCCCGATTGGACAAAAACACAAAATACTGTATAAAACAAGACAAGCAACCTCACTTTTACTTAACTGGAAGTTCTGAGTACTGCTTCCACCTCTGCTTGTTAGGAATCGGGATTTAATTTAGAAAAATCATTACAAATTGGCAAAGAGGAACACTTCACGAATTTGCGTGTCATCCTTGCGCCCAGGGGGCGAGGATAATCGGGGCTGCTCAGTCCCACTTTAGCCCCGCCCCTCCCGTTCATTTCTTATGGCATTCTCACTTTAATCTTGTGTCCACCCATTGGTTGTCCCACTGACGTTTCATTGAAACGGGGAGGAGCGGGGAGGAGTTTTCACTGAAAGTTTCCAGGCATCATTTACAACTGAGCGGTTTTTGAAAAGGTAAGATACCCTCCGCTAGACAGTCCGTTATAATGTAATATAACAGTAACAGATGAATGGGAATGTATTTTGTTGTCCTCTGCTATTACAGTAGATGAATGCCAATGTGTTGTCTTTTAACGTTCGCGCATATTCGCATTGGTAAAAAGTTTCCGCTAAACCGAGGCTTTACGCCGGCAACACACCGGAGCTTTCTGGCCGTTGAAATCCGTAAATACTTGTCATTTAATGCTTATTACTATGTGCTAACGTTTATGAAGTTAACATTTATATGCACCATTCGTGATTAAAAGCTGCCACTCCGCCATGTACAGTCTTAGAACTGCGGCAACAACATGCATTGCTCCTGCACTTTGCTAGATGCAAACACGTAACGCTTTTTACTTTGCACTAACGTATATGTTCATGAAGTTAATGCTTACATCCGTTCACAGATGTGGACGGAGGGTTAACAGTCATAGACACTTGGCTATTTAATGAAGTACTGTAATAACTAAAGTTAACATATGAAGGCCATCATTCATTTAAAGTCAGACCTCCTCTGAGGTTACTGTTGAGCTGATGGAAAAGTGTTGTCTAGCATAAGATAGCATTCTCTTTTAAATCAGAACCAGCTTTTACTCATGTTATTTTTCTTATTTCTATTCAGACTGTTCTTCCTGTGTACTATCTGTGTTTCTCTCCTGCTGCTTTAACACCTGAATTCAAAGGTCCATCTCATCCAAAGAGAGGCTTTGTTTGTATGCTAACTAGGTTAAAGGTTCAAGGTGTTTGCTGTACTTCACATGTACTTGTGAAGTACTTGCCTGCTAGCTTCTGACGTGTGTTTGATGTGACATGTACTTGTGAAGTACTTGCCTGCTAGCTTCTGACGTGTGTTTGATGTGATTTCAGAACAATGGATCACAAACCGTCCTTCGCGTTCCAGGCTGGTACATCAGACCTGCAGCTGATGGCCAGCACAGAAGCTGGCAAAGTCTCGAAAGACAACCTGAAGAGGGCAGCCCCGCGCCTCACCTCCGACACCAGGGAGCTGGCTGAGGCACAAGCTGTGTCAAGGGTCACAGCGCTGGGGGGCAACCCGGTGGACCGCTGGCAGCTCCTCAGCCAGACCGAGCTCCAGTTTGGTCAGTACCGGGGTCAGACTCTCCAGTGGCTGCTGTCAAATGACGTGGGCTTCACGGCAACCATTCTGGCAGGCCATCAGGGAGAGCGTGAGGGGGGGGATGTCAGCAGCACCCCCCTCATGTGGAACAAAGATGCTCTGCTGGAGTACGCCAGCCTCTTCGCCCCAGTGATGGCAGCCGTGAGCAGGAAGAGAGCACCGGGCACGGCTGCAGAGCACGAGCAGCTGGTGGGCTTTGGGGCTTGGTCAGCCATGACGTACAGGGACCTGTACGACACTGCGGAGAGGGAGCCAAGCACGTAAGGCCATGTGTGACTTTCATCACTAGCTGTAGAAACACTTGATGTGATATCAATCTAACTGTTGCCTCTCAATCTCAATGTCAGGTACAGGAAGTGGCTCAGGAGGCAGCCCGTCAGGAGGCCCGGGTCCCAACTGGCGCAGCTGAAGGACTACATAGACAGAAGGGACAAGGAGAAGCAGCCTGTCGCCTCCTCAGCTGCATCAGCAGCCGCCACCTCCTCAGCTGTCTCCCCCTCCACTACATCTCCCCCCAAACAGCGGAGGAAGAGAAAGCCAGTGCTCCTGTGTATGTATCATGTCAGTGGAGTGTTACTGTCAGTCAGGTGATGTGTGATGAGTGAACATTTTTTAAATTGTGTCTGCAGCTTCCTCAGAGGACGAAGACGACCATCTGATGGTGGAGGCTGCGGCTCAGGTGGAGGCTGCTTTAGGTAAGTCTGTGCTTCGAGTCATTATTAAGCTTTGTATAATAAAATCTATTTGGGATGTCAAGTGTGTTTTTCTGCTGTGCACAGTATCTGCTCCACCTCTTCCTCCTCCGCCGCCTCCTCGTCCTGCCCAGCAGCAGAGAGCTCTGGCACCACCTCCTCTTCAACTCGTCGCTCCTCCCCCTCAGGTCTGTAATAATGTTGTTGTAAACATCTAGTATCAGTGTGTAGTGTGAAGCTGCAGCTCAGTGACCTGTGTGTGTGTTGCAGCTGGTCCTGCCGGCAGCCTGGAGGAGCAGCCTCCCTGTAGAGCAGCACGAGTGGGTCAGCAGGGCTCTGTTTGTGGGCTACAAGTCAGGGTGGCCCGTCCTGTCCACGGACTATCAGCTGTGGCACCACCCCCCCGGCCCCCGGCTGAAGTACTCCCAGCGGCCCTCCTCCCCAGATGCTTTCTTCCAGCGGCCCTTCTTCTTCTGGGCGCCGAACAAAATGTGGCAGTACCACCTGAAGTGCCCAAGCTGCGCACACAAGATGACGGGTAGTGGTCTCTACAAGACCTTGCGCAGAGTTCTGGACACCAAAGGCTGGTACTACATGGGGACGGAGTACCTGGAGTGCAGGTACTGATACATTTACAAGCATACTCTGTGTGCTTGATGCTTTGGTTAAATAGACATTGTAAAATAATACAAGTACTTTTTTTTATGATTATAACTATAAGTAGCAGTAGTAGCAGATACACCAATACACCTTTCTGTCCCAGCTCCTGCAAAAAGAAGTGTGCCGGCTGGGCAGCGAACATCAGTAGCCAGCTGGACCTGGACCACCAGCTGCTCTTCCCTGCTGTGCTGACCTACAGGTAAACATCACGCTGTTGGACACAGTGGTGTTTGAAGGACATTGAGATGGTTTGGTGTTCACCTCTGCGTCTGTGTTTGTGCTGCAGGCTCTCTTGTGACCGGAGGGTGCTGGCTCAAATGGAGGGGCGCACGCTGGGCTACAGCGCCAGCGAGCTGCACTCCTACCTGGTGGAGCAGCACACGGCAGAGTGGATGACGAGGAGCATCCACTACCTAAACACCTGCAGGAAGTTTGAGGTTGCAGGTGTGCAGATGCCACCTCCTCAGCCTCCACCACAGATGGTGCCTGTCCCCAGCAGCGGCTTGCTTCTGTCCACCTTCGTCCTGGAGTCCTTTACGAGGATCGAGGAGCTGAACGCCAAGGTGACTTCAACCTTTGGCTCCATTCTCAAAATGGACTCCACCAAGAAGGTGAGAAATGTAATGTTACTTATGTACACTGTAGGTGTCATGGCTGCACCCTGACTGATGGAGGAGACCCTCTTCTCCCCTGCAGGTTGTGGAGGAACGTCTTAAGAGAAACTGATCAATGATTCAAGACTAACAATACAATGTAACAGTGTAAAAGGCAATCAGAGTATAAGACTATATGTTTTTTTTTAATGATTATATGATCATTTCACACAGGTGACCAAGAAGCTGGCGGGAGCAGACGCTGGTACCGCTCTGTGGAGGAGCAGCGTGGGGAACGAGCTGGGGCAGGTCCTGATGTCCGTGCTGACGGCCGCTGAGGGCTACGGCCTGACCACGGCCATGGTGCAGGGCCTGCAGGACCGGTACCGGCTGGCAGGGAAGGAGCCTCCACAGGTCCTGTATGTGGACAGGGACTGCTGCCGGAGGGACGGAGGCACCTGCGCTGCAGCTGCTCTCTTCCCCGCCTGGCCACGCCTGGCTGTCAGGCTGGACATCTGGCACTTTATACGCCGACTGGCAGTAGGCGTGACCTCCGAGAGCCACCTCCTCTACCCCGAGTTCATGCGGCGTCTCTCCAGCTGCATCTTCGAGTGGGACCCGGAGGACCTGTCCCTCTTGGAGACGGCCCTGCAGGCGGACGAGTCCAGAAGGACGCCGTCCAGCAAGGAGTTGGGTCGGCACTGCCGCCGCCGCACGCGTGGGGCTCAGGAGACCGAGCGTCTCCTTGGAGAGGCGGTGGAGGCGTTCAAGGGGGCCACCGATGCCATGAACGTCCCCCTGCTGGACCGACGCCGCATGGAGGAGATCCTGGAGACACAGAGGCATCACATCCCCTGCATTCAGCTACAGCCCTTACAGGAAACAATTCAACATGTTTCATGTTCAGACATTAATTCAGACACTGAATAATCAGAGCCTCTCCCCTTCAGGATCCTGCTGGTCTCCGCCTGTACACCAAGACGGGACAGCTGACCCGGGGGGGGGGTGTCTCTGTCCGTCTACCGCTGTGCCCGCGGCTCCACGTCCCTGGAGTCCTTCCACCTGCACCTCCACAGGTTCATCCCGGGTGAGGCACCATGCTCTAAGAGTTTTACACTTTCTCTCTCTCCCTGGGTGTAAAATCCTGACGTTTGTGTGTCATGTTGCAGGCTCCTCTGCGAGGGGGACATTCCTCCAAATATTACTGTTGGAGGGGCTCACGAGGTGGAACGAGGACCGGGGAAAGGCGGCAGCGGGGGGGGGGGGGGCGGCATCAACTGCTACAGCGGCCAGCAGCAGTACACAGGTGATACTTCAGACTCAGAGCCGATGCTTCTGGAAGGTTCCTGTTTGAGAACATCAGAACAAGGTGAAGAACAACTGTGATATTAAGAATCTATTTACTCTTTTCTTCCTCAGGTGAGCTCATCGAGATCAGCTACCTGTACAATCAGACGGGAAAGGTTCTGCAGCCCCTCCCTGATGATCCCGATGTGCCCGATGACAGCGAGGAGGTGACTGTTGAAGAGGAGGAGGAGGAGGAGGAGGGATATGACAGAGAGGATTTATTTCATCTTCCTGCTCCTCTTCCTGCTCCACGGCAGGGTGGAGGATGAAGATAAATAAAATACATAAATACATAAAGTGTAAAACTTTATAACATAACATAACATAAAATACATAAATACATAAAGTGTAAAACTTGTAAAACTTGTAAATAAATAAAAAGGTATTTTTAAACTTGAATATCTCTGACTGCTTATTTCTTTCTTTTCACAACTTCATAACATCTCTTTGTCATATCAAGCATGCAGCCAGCAGGGGGGGTCAAAGAGCATTTGGGGTGGGGGGGATCTGGGCGGTTGGTACACTGGACACTGGCTTTAATTGATCCGAGGGGCTCTGATCCGATTGGACGACGGGCTCCGGACCCCCAGGTGAGAGTTTCTCATCCTAGAAGATCCACAGGGGTCTTCTCTGTATCGTACCAATTTTTTATATGTGCTATCGAAATAACACAATATTGCCCTGCATCTGGGGGGTATTCCCAGGTCTCTGAGCAAGGTCAACTTTGTATTATGGTAGCAGAACACATAGAGCTCAAAGAGAGCAAAACACTGGGTCTAAATGGGCCGAAAACTGCAGACAGAAGCTGCGCGAGCATGGTTCGTGGATCTCACCTTTGGCTTCTTTGGCATTGAGTCCAAAAAGCCCCTCTTTCAGCTCCCAGTGCTAAAAATCCATTTAATATATAGTCCCCGTATAGGGGACGTATCAGATATTAAACTGATAAGAACAGATTTTTTCTTTTGGGAATTTTTTTTATTGACACTTAATTCATGCACTTTTCATATTTACATCACATTTTTGTCACACAGGTGTATTTTGAGCAATCATATAATAAATAAATGTACACTGTAAGATTTTATTAAGACATCAGACCCATTTTCATAAAAGCATCGCCTTTCATTAAAAACATTGTATACCTGTCATATGTAAACGATTTTCCTTTTAAGGTCTTTAAAAAGGGGGTGTAAAGTGCTGTGCAGGAGCGCAGTGAGTCCCTGTCAAGGGGAACTCATCCCACTCCCCTTTAACAGGTTCTGTCTCTCGGGGTCTTGTCAAGGTGCTCAGAGGAGACCCCCACCCTGTTGATCCTTCCCCCCTGTCTTTCCTGGAGAGTCGGGCCTGCGCTGCTTTGACCTTTCCCGTGTGGCTCCGACTCCTTCGTCCGAATGAGCACAGAGGCGATTCTTCTTTGTGGCTGTGTCCTGGGCGTGCCGCATGTCGCTGATTTTATTGTTGCTGCAGCCATCCGGATCACAGCCACGGGGGGGATCTGCATGTGCCTTCTTACCAGCAAGTTTCTGGAGGTCCATATGGCGTCTTTGATGGCAGCTAGGGTGAGAAGAACTGATAAGAACAGATTTTTTTTTTTTTTTTTTTTTTTTTTTATTATAACAAATCTTCAATTTACATCATTCTTATACACAGTTTACAAACAAGTAAACAAAGGACATTCAATACAAACACATATATCCCTTTTACTTTTCATGTATGTAATAACCATTAGGTGATCTGGTCTTCACCCCACCAGCCCTAAACCCCCCTTCCATCTTTCCAAAGCGGCGTGTTGTCCCCATTTCAGAATTTCCCTCTCATTCTCCCCTTCATATCTGCCCTTACTTTTCCTATGATCCCCCTTATGCTGCAGCATTTGGAAGGAACAATTACCCACTCAATTTTCACATTGCATAGGGGTCTTCACTGAAACTGTCCATCTGGTCGGCCCAAAAAACAGGAACCACACTTGAAGAGGTGGAGGGACTCACAACACCCCCTTGTGTGTCATCCCCCGAGGGAGGTGGTTGCAGCAGTGGAGCAGCAAGCAGCCCCCGGTCCAGTGGCAACCCAGCTGGGAGCCCAACCCCTACAACCCCTGGGTCCTCCCCCACCATCCCTCCACCCAAACCATGGCATTCGTCCGCTTTGCCCCTCCCCTGGTCACTGTCCTTCACTGGTCCCTTCCTCTTCTGCTGCCCATCTCCTTCATCCACCACCACCTCTTTGGCCCGCCCCTTCCTCCTCGTCCCCTCTGTCTTTGGCCTTTTACTGTCTCCGACCTGCGAGCAGTCCCCATTGTCTTCTGGAGCCTCTGTTCCGAAAGCCTCCTGTATTTTACGTATCCCAGGCTTGACACCCACATCGGCTGCTACAGTTGAGTCCGTATTCCCCGCAGGCCCTCGGCCCACGCTGTCAGACCCCGAGCCGCCGCCCGGTACCCGCTCCACCGCCGCAGCCTCCCCCGTGCCCACCGGAAACATATTCTTCTGGCACTGGATAAGCCCTTCCAGAAGGTCCTCGAACTCCGTTTCCCTCCGGTTGTTGGCCCCGGCTACCTCCGCAAACGTCCTCCTACGCTCAGGACAGCTTCGGTAAAGATGGTCGATCCCACTGCAGCCATGGCAGGCCTTGGGCACTGTACAGTCTTTGGCCTCATGTCCCCTTTGGCCACAAAAACGGCAGCTGGTGCCAGCGCACCCTCCCTCCACGTGGCCTGATTGCCTGCACCGCCTGCAGAAAGCTGGCTGACGCGGGTAGAAAAGGTACCCTCGATCTGCTCCAAGGCTGAAGGAGGCAGGCAGGTGCTTGAGGCCGCCAAAACCCTCTGGCTCAGATTTAAGAAGCACCTGGAACTGCCTTCGACCTGTCCAGATCCCCATGGTGTCCTTGACATGTCTTGCTTCAGTTAGCACTTCCCCATACAGCCTCAAAAAATCAGCCAGCGCTCTGTCAGTCACAAAGGGATTAAACATGTTGACCGTGATTGTCCTGAAATTTGGTCTGTCCAAATTTAAAACCTTGTAGCAGGCTAGCGGCTTTACCATAGCAGCAGCAACACAGTCCTTAGCAACCTTCGTATATACTTGCTCTCCTTTAGGGTGACGTCGAAAGCCTTCTCCTGCTGGTTCCATTGTAGGCAGTAGATGACATCAACTTTCAGATGGAGCTGCTCCATGATGACTTCCCTGCAGAACCACGTCCTCGATACGACATCTTCGTCTGCGCCAACTGCCTGGAAGCACAGTGTGAATCTCAGCCCGACTCTTGGGATCGGCTGTCCGTCATCGGCCTTCTCGGCCATCGCTCCTTTCTCCTCGTGGTTCGAAATGTCCTTCCTGGAAAAAATGATAAGAACAGATACTACACTTGATCTTAGCCAAAAGGCCGAGAAGCGATGACCCTTAACGTTTGCTGCAGGAGACGGACTCGTTGCGCAGTCACCGCCGGTCTTGGTGCGGCTCTTTTGACCTGGCATAAGAGAGGCGCTGCGTAACTGGGTTAACCCTAACCCTAACCCTTTTCTTGTCTTTCACAAACTCAGAATGCTCAGCCAAACGGCCGAGCCTACCAAAAATAGGTTGAACTCGTAGGTGTTCCTGTCCACGGAAGTCTTTAGTAAAAGGCGAAAGACTTATACGCCTTGAAGAGAAACCAGAGTAATTGTAGAGGCCGTCCTCGAGAACATGTTGTCCTGTAAAGAACTAAAGGTTGTTAATAACAGTTATGCTTAGGGTACTTCAATTCTGCAACCAAGGACTTTCTTTTCATTCCTGCTCAAAGTTTGTCTGGTCACAGTGGAAAATATAAAGGGATTTCTTTCCTTTCTTGATTTTGTCTGTCAAAAGTGCATTCGTTGAGCGCATTGAATCCGTGTATCTACCGTCCAATTGTTTTTTTTTATTAAACAAGTAAACGGAAGAGCGTCTGAGAGACGTTTTTGCTTTTTACCTTACTAAATGGTCTAATGGTCATTGGAGCGAGGGGCGGGGCGAAACTCACGGAAGTTATTTTAAAACAAAAGCACTCGTGTGCTTGGAACTGTGATAATATTATAAACAAGGGGAAACAAGGTGAATTTAGCGATCACAACGAAAACGGCCAAGACACATATTGAGCCCAGAAAATTCATGTTGACAGGAAGTTGTTGTTGCTTTGGAAACAACGTGACAGAGATTAACGGAGAAAAGTCATATCTACATATAAAGACGGAGAAAGTAAACGATAACGTTTATGGTTAAGTGTTAGCACCCCCCGAAGAGGCACAAGCTCTTACGTTGATATTGGAGATTTCAATAAATTCCATTTGAAAAAAAACGGGGAAAAAACGAATATCCGATTAACGAAATTGAAACCCGAAATAGTACTCCAACGAATGAATATTCGGATATAATAAAGTTATAGTTAAGCAATAGCTCACGACAGGCCGTGGTATATGGCCATTATATCATAGTTAAGGGGCGTGGTTCGGCCCGACGCGAAGCGGAGGGTCGACAACCCCCTTAACTGTGATATAATGGCCATATATCACGGCCTGAAGTGAGCTATTGCTTTTATAAAACGGTTACCAAGTGTGGCAATATGAAAGAAAAATACACACTCTAATTTAAATAGTTGTTATTAGTAAATAATGATGTTCAAAATAAAATAGTCCCTCTGTTGCCTTCTGCACGAAATATAGTGCGAGGTGGTTGCTATGCAACAACACTAACAACAGCTAGCGAACATTTTAGACAGAGAGCGTTGATCCATTATTTGGCTATTTATTTACATTAATGTGTATGTTGCCGTTTATTGTGCACCCACTGAAAAACTGTCCAGCATCAGTAGAATGGCTTACGTGGTTATAGGTTGAGGTTGTTCTAGGCTGTTGCTTGGCGTGGCGAGAATATTGCTCCACTTTCTCCGGTCCCCGAGATTCGGCTTCCAGTAGCTCTGGAGAGAGCTTTCTCACCTGTGGCCACTAACGGTCATAATTTCTCTGCTTTGTTTCAAGACCCGCATCAGAAAGCTTTTGAATGGTGATACTTTTCCAGTTGGTCTACTACCTGCTCTTCACGTAGCTCTACATGTCGTCGTTTAGGTGCTTTTTGTTCTGGAGATAGGCACTCGCACTCCTCAATCCACTCCTCCATAGTATGTTTTTGCCGTTTGATGTCTATGTCTGGACCGCTGCGTAAAAAGGAGGGTTTCTGCCCGTTACTTCTCCGCTGCTTTCTTGTTCCAGTTTGAAAAGCAAACTGCAAGCAGTTTGCTTTTCAGCCCAACTGTATACTGTTTTTCTCAGATGCGGAGGGATACTGACTTGTTGTGAAAAGTAACTTACAATTCTACCCGTGGTATACGCTCAGTATATCACGGCTAAGAACCAATCAGATTGCTTGATTTGACTTGTCCGTTTTATAATAAATAATAACAAACTCCAGTGTTAGAATTCCATAATTCCATATTCATAAATAAAATGATATGAAAATAACATTTTCTTGGCTGTGGACTTGTACTCTACATAATTATGTTGAGCTCATGGTAATCTAATTCAATAAACAATAACTGCAATGAACAGATAGCATTTTCTGACTCTGTAATTTGGTAAATGATTCTGTGTTGAAAAATGTATATCTTTAAAAACTGCGTTGGTGTATTAGGGCGGGCCATACTATTTTTTTTGTTGTAAATCGATCGAGAGGGGTGTTCAAATAACGTATTTTGGTGTGTAGAACACACATTTATTTAGATTTATTTATTTTGAAGTTGTTGCTATGGAAACAACATCTACATATAATAACGGACAAAGTAAAGAATGAAGTGTATGTTTAAATGTTAGCATCCGCCGAAGAGGCTCAAGCTCTTACGTTGAGTCTGGAGTTTCAATACATTCGGAATTTGACCGTGTAAAATGTCCTCTTGGGTTACCGTACAGCCAATGCGTGACGTCATTGGTAAGCGTAACGGACCCCGAACACATATGGTACGTACAACGGTTCCCAATGAATCCTCATGCTAACTCAACAGCTAGCTAGCATGTGTTTAATCCATAGACTGTGGTTTAATCTCTTTGCAACCGTAGCTAACACAATTTACAGTACTGTACTGTAAGTACTGTACTCTACTGAAAAAAAATGAGGTACTAGAATAGAATAGAAAGCCTTTATTGTCATTATGCAAAAATATACAATGAGTACTGTACTTTAGAATTTTCTACTACTTTATACTCCACTACATTTTGTAGGCAAATGTTTTACTCACTACATTTATTTCACATATGTAATTATTTACTTTGCAGGGTTAGATTATAATACAAAATATAAATTAGCTAATACATTATCATAAATTAAGATAGCCAGTGTGTGTAACATCATTACCATTAACCCCACTTTTACCGTTTAAGTGCAACATTAAATTATGAACACATTAATACATGAATAATAAACTATATGGTTCTTATTTGTGCCAAACTGCACGACGAGTACTTTGCTTTTGGTACTTAAAGTATAAGTTGGTGCTAATACTTTTGTTCTTCTACTTAAGTTCAACTTTGAATGCAGTACTTATTCCCCCTCTGCATTTTTTTTCTTAAATCTAGGAGAAAAAGACAATTAGAAGAAATATTGTGAGATTAGATTGTGATAAAACACAGAGATTAAACTGATCCCAACACTAATATACTGTATTAACTGGCTGTTTAATATTTGCTGGTTTATAAATGTGCATGGCCATCATCACCACTACCTACAAAGACTGCCCAGCAATCACATGACATGAATGAAAGTGAGTCTTTACTATGATTAATATCAAAATACTAAAATTCAAACATTTACAGGCTTGTGGTTAATTATAATTTTTATTTTGAAAATAATATTCTCTTTGTGTCTACAGTTTCACTTTCTGTCTTTTAGTTTTCCCACCCGTGAGATTGTATGATTGTGTTTTTTTTAATAGAATTACCTTTTTCAAAGCCTGTGTCTTTCTCCTGTGGTATGCAGTATCTCAAGGGGTATCACGACAAACAATTCCATGTATTTTCAGTTACATTAACTTGATTAAGACGACTCTAAAACCTCACACCAGATAACCCTGTAGAACCATGGAAAACATGAATAAATAGTGTACAGTTTCAAATCTCCTCACTTTAAAGCTATAAGAACACCAAAAATGGAAAGGCTTATAGAAAGTATGGATACAATGTGAATGGCACAGTAAAACAATGGTGCACTAATTTCCTTCAAAATGAAAACCGGAGAGAAGTGCAGATCCAATAATCACATCACAGGTCATAAGTCCTCTCCCAACTGGGCGATCTCCTCCAGCAGGAAGTCGATGTCCTCCTGTTGTGTGGCTGGGTTGGAGAACACACACCTGAAGAAGTTGACTTTGGCACCCAACGGCTGATAGCCAATCAGAAGAGAGCCCTTCTCCATCATCCTGCCTTTGATCCGAGGAGCCACCTGCAGAGACGTATGAAGCATTTTGAAATCATAAAAGGAAGCAGTGGGGCCTGATCCTTACTGAGGGAGGGGCCGCAGGGCTCCTGAACTGACCTGATGGAGCCTCATGTCTCTGTCAGAGCCAGGCTGCAGGCCCCTCAGGCTGGGGGGGAGGTACCAGAAACACACGTTACTGTGCTCCGGCTGTCAGAGAGGAGAGCAGATTCCAGTGAGAGTTGAGAGGGGATTTACAGGGATAAGTATACAATCTTCTTCAAAATCTGAATTGGAATATTCTAAATATCTCAGGGGGAATGGGGTTTTGTTAGGATGCAATACATGAAAGATACATTCAAAAATATGTATTTAAAAATAAGTTTGTGTCGGAATGTACAGTAAGAAATAAAATAAAATATATCACATACAAATTAGAAGTGAAATGTCTAATACAAAATAAAATACAAATACTTTTATAAACATAAGAAGTCAAAGTTCAAACGTGCACATTGTAATACAATATATAACATGTATGTAACAATATATAAAGTGGTGAATTAGTATTCATAATAAGATAATTAAAGCTGAAGTGAAGAGTTTAAAAGAGTTGCTGCTTATGGTGAAGTAAATCCTAGTGACTGCAATCAGAGTTAAAGGGCCATTTTATGCTCATCTTCAGCTTTATCTGTGTATTTTGTGTCTCTACTGTGACATGTTTCAATGCTTTATTGTTCAAAAAGCTCTCTTCTCATATTGCCTTTTAGCCTTGGCAGACCACTTAGATGCACAGAAACCTACACAACACTACAGGAAAGGGAAAACCGCAAAAAGCAAAATAGGGCCTCTTTAAATGTTTTGATGGCTACAACAACAACTTATTTTTGCTGTCAGTGGTGCATCTTGGGGATATTAGTATTGGCACTGAAGGTACTCCCAATTTCAAAGGACCAACCAAAAACACAATAATGCCTGGCAATATTCTTTGGATGGTAAGTGCAGGAGATTTAAATGCAACTGAAAATGTATATATATACAGTTGTCTGAATCTACAGCCTGGCAAAACAATTAGTATATGTAACCTATATTTGAAATGTATCCTGGCTTAAAATCTGTTGTCTTGATGTATTTTAACACTGACACATAACCGAAATTGCGAATGTTTCTTGTACATTCATTAGATGAATATATTACGTAAAAAACAGCCTTACTTTGTGTTTGAAGACCAGTTCAAAGTCAGTCCTGCTCTGCAGCTGATCGTACAGATATTCTGCATTCTCTAAGCATTTGTTGACCTGAGATCCAAATCCCTCAGACCCCTGAGCGAGTGAGAGACACAGACAGCGACACAGAAGTTTAAACAGCAGTAGTCATCTTATCAAAGTGTTTTATATGGGTGAGATGCGGTCTAATTAGTAAAAAGTTAAAAATATTTAAAATTAAGAAGCATGCAATAATGAATGAAAGTGTTATGTCACCCAGGGGACACAGACACACCAAACTGCATTTCTCAATATCAGTCAATGCTCACAGTAAAACTTCACAGTACAGAATCATCCAATGAAAATGTGTAGCTCGTTGTCTCTCTGGTACTGAATGGAGTTCTCTCTCGTTTTATTCTACGATATAAAATATGTCAGTGAATCCCCACTGGTGAATGTCTGAAGCTTCTACAGTGGGTGTCCTATAAACAGTGTTTGCTAACAAGACACTGGTAAAAGTCATCACGCCACATTAGCCACCTTTAGCTTAGCGTTGGTGACGTTTGTTTATATTCTTACTTAAGTATTCCTACTTCTGTCAATTGCATTTATGCTTCAAACATCACAAAGTGGTATTAACATGGGGCAACAGTGGTGGGAAGAAACTAAGTACATTTACTCAAGTACTTTACTTGTCCATTTAATGCTACTATATACTTCTACTCCCTTACATTTTGGAACATTTGTTGTACTTTTGACTCCACTATATTTAATTAACACTTATAGTTACCAGCTACTGTTCACATATAAAACACAGGACATTTTTATTGGATATAATGCAGTACGTTACTATCAATATATTAAAATAAATCAAAAATGGTCTTAACTTACTACAACATTTAAATGTTCTTACATGTAAGAAATCAAAATAAGAAGGAATCATTTTAAATTCTATAATAATATAATACTTTCAAAACAGCCACTGTGCATAATGGGTATGTAATGGAGTATTTTTAGACCAAAGGATTCCTACTTTTACTTAAGTAAAGGATCTAAGAAGTCCTTATTCTACCACTGTGTGGAGATTATCCTGCTGAACAAAACTAATCATAATTATTTTGTGCAACTTTCCCATTGAAAGAATCCCATTGATTTTGTCCTTTGAGCCCTTGTGATGCTAACTTGTAACTTGTGTCATCCTCGACTGCACACTTTCATTCAAATCTCACATCACTCGGTCTGCCTATTTCCATCTACGCAACATCAACCCCCTCCGCCCGTCCCTTAACCCTAAGACCACCGCCATTCTTGTTCACACCCTGGTCACTTCCCGCATTGACTACTGCAACTCCCTTCTCTTTGGTCTCCCTCTCAAATCCATCCACAGACTTCAACTGGTTCAGAACTCTGCCGCCCGCATCATCACCAGAACCCCCTCCATTAACCACATCACTCCTGTTCTTCAGCAACTTCACTGGCTCCCCGTCAAATCCCGTATCACCTTTAAGATTCTGCTCCTCGCCTTTAAGGCCATTCATAACCTCACTCCTCTGTACCTCTCCGACCTCCTGCACATCAACACACCCATCCGCACACTCAGGTCTTCTGCTTCCCTCAACCTCACTGCACCCCCCTTCTGTTTAACCACCATGGGGTCTAGAGTCTTCAGCCGCTCTGCACCCCGCCTCTGGAACTCCCTCCCACCTGACATCCGCAACACTGACTCTCTCCCCATTTTCAAATCACGCCTCAAAACACATCTCTTCACACTCGCATATCCACCATGATCATTATCCATCACACATCCTCTGTTTTATTTATTTGATTATTTGATTGATTTATATACTGCATTGTCTTGTTTATGTTTCTTATGCTGGTGTTATGTATTGTGTATCTTGTTTTTTGTGTGTTTGTACGGCGACCTTGAGAGCCTTGAAAGGCGCCTATATAAAATAAATAAATAATTATTATTATTATTAAAGCAGCTTAGAAAAATACAGTACGTCATCACTGCTTCACTGGTTGCGCAACTAATCGTCAAAATACATTCGTGCATATTTTATCTAATAAAGATAAGGACAAAAAGAAAAGGATTCCCATCGAAAAGGAAGTCCCCAACATCAAAAGAAAATCAGATGCAGTCTTCACATGAGTCACTCTCATATTGCACAGGAATACCTTTGCCTTCCACATGAGCCAAAGCTTGAAGACGTCCTGATGTCGGCCACACTGGATGCTCTTATCTCCGGTGTCGTAGTTCACATCGTAGGGTTTGTCCGTCTGGAAGAGGTAAGTGGCCCCAATCTCATTACACCCCTGTAAGAGACCCTGAGGAGGACCACAAAATAACATTTAAAAAAAACCCTGTTTGCAGAACAAGATTAACAGTCAACAGCCACACCAGCTGTTTAGGATATATTTTTAAGACATTTAACATAAAACATTTCACCAAAGTTGACAAAGACGATGAATGAACCCAATTGTTTACCCTGGACCACCAATTTCACTCTCATAGTGGCGCCATGGTCCTTAGTATTCATTCTGAAGGCATCCTAAATATCTGTACAAATGTCCAATGCATCTAATAGTTGTGAAGAAGAGAGAGGTGGACAGATACACACAGCATGGCTAAAAATATTCAGTTGATAGCCTCCAAAGATAGTGATGTTTTATTTTTATGTACACTTAAATTAAAGGGTACAGCATTATGTCTTACCCTCTTCTTGATCAGTATGGCAGAGCACTGCAGTGGGACGCCCATCATCTTGTGAGGATTCCAGGTGACGGACCAGGCTCTGGAAAACAAATCACTTCAAATGTAAATTGGACCAACTATCAGACTTGTTTTAGCAACCACAGCACACACAAGTTATTATGTTTATAACAGCAATTCACTGTGTAAGGGCACCAACAATAATGCTCAGCCTAGGAGCCTCAGGGGGATAAATGTTTATAGGAGGGGCTAATTAATGTTGACGCAACAACAACAACATGTAGTAGTAGGCTACAGAAAAACAAGATTCAACAATGTGAGGCTAATATGCTACAGTTACATTATTGAAATGCAGGTTGTAAAACAATGAAAACACAACAAATTATGTTCATTTTCACAAATGAAATGCATACACAAAGTGTATTACAACAAGAGGGGACAAACAACCACCTCTACAGAAAGCTCACCATACAGTCTATTTTTGTAAAACCGGGGGAAAGGTTAGCATTTTACCACTACCAGTTCCAACCTCTTGAAGGCAACGTTTTTTTAAATGTGTTTTTGGTTAGACGCCTGAATAAACAACCCAGTCGCATGGCATTTCGTGTTATAGTCACGACATTTAATCTATTGATTCGTGTTCACCAACACGATTTTCCCCTTTTTTTCGTGTCAGACAGAACGATTTAAAAAGCAATGTATTTCTATTGGTAGTATGTTTTCGTGCCTGCACCACGTCTTTTTGTCCGGTCGGGTCTTGGAAGACCGAAGCTGTGTGGTTCATAAAAACATCTTCTTACTCAATATCAAGCCACGATTATTGTTTTTATTTTAAATCGTATAATGTCGGACTTTTTTTTGCCATCCGTGAGGAAAAGAAGTGGGGCTCAGAGCCTCAGAATACTGAAATCTGTATTTTTTAAATCTTTTTTTCCTTCTAATTTGTTATTCTTTTCCAAATAACAAATTGTTATTTACTCAAAATAACACACAATTATCCTTGTTTTTATTTATTTGTTTAATTCCATAATCTCTGGCTTTTTGGCCGTCCGTCAGGAACTGAATTTCAAAATAAAGATCCTCAGCTATGGTTGAAGCTCGGTGATTGGATGTTTTAGCCGCAATGCACGTTGGGATATGGTGTTAATGCGATATGAAATCCAAAAAACATTTCAGAGTTTAGGATGGCCGAAGACACTACACTACCCATAATCCTCAGCTATCGTTTGGGACTACAGTCCCGTTGCTTGACAAACCCCATGATTAATCTTCAAGCTCTGGGATTGGATGTTGGAGTGGCAGTGTGCCAAGGTTACGCCGAGCGTATCCAAAACTGGACTCGAGCGGGTCCAGCCCCCCATATACCCACATGACAGCTCATTGTTTCTTTGTAATTCTACTCCACTACAATTCAGAGGTTAACCTGGTATTTTTACTCCACTACATTTATTTTAGTTACTTTGCAGATTCTGATTAATGATGTGAAATATAAACAACCCTTAAATCAGGCTTTAGTTACACCTGAGTAAAATTCAGGGAAGGTGATTGTCAAGTGCCAACAATCAGGAGAGATATTTGATAGTTGCTGCTTGAGAAGACAAAACATTTATCTGCAGATCCCTATACAGTATATTCATTACTTACAATTACAATACATTCGTTAATTAAAAACTGTATATAATGGCTATTTTGCACATCCCTTTCAAGATTTCAAGATTTTCTAAGGTTTATTGACATATCATATACACAACTACGGTGTAGTTATGCAATGAATGAAAAACTTGGGTCACAGGTTCCTCAACAGTGCATTACAAGATATCTATCAATATGTGTGTATACCTCCACCATTAAACTGTCATATTCTGCATATTTCTTATACTATCTACATACATAAGAATATAATTAATATGTATAATATCAGTTAAAATAAGTGCTTCAACATAGTTAACATTGCAGGAAAGCAATGTATTAGACATTAAGTACTTTGTCAGGCTTAATATTTATCTGTAGATACCCCCAAAGCTTTTTTCTTATTTAAAAGAAGACCTTAACCTAAAGTATTCATTAATGTTTAAATAAAGGTTAATTCGTTTTTCTGTTTTGCACATCCTCCTATTAATATCTTTATACATCCGGCACTAAACTGTTTTATTGTAGAGATCACTTACAGTATCTTCTTGATTTTTTATATTCTATATTTCTATCATTGACCTTCTACTTTCCCCCTATTTTGTATGTAAATATAACATATTAAAAAAAAAATGCAATAACGTGCTTTAACCACTAGGCAGTGCGGGTTAAAAAACTGTCAAGTTTACAGTGTTAACACAATAAATGATAGTTTCCAGTATAAGTTTCCAGGTTAGTTCGTGACGGATGTATTTTGTTATCCACACATTTTTTTTTTTTATATTTGCACCTACACCTGCAACAGTCAAAGACAGGCAACTGTTGAGGAGTTGGAAAGGTCTGAAGATGTTACAAATAAGGTACACACAGCACAGACAATGCCATAATAACTTTGTATTATTAGTGTAGGACACTTATATATGTATAACATCTGAAGAAGTGCAGTTTTATTCATGTTTTCACATAATTTTACAGGATATTGCTATATTATTTCACATGTTTTACTTCTACACATTAATATCTGATTTGTTAAACATCACAGACAGAAAGGTATATCCGTCATTTAATGGTAAGCTATTGAAATTCTGAATCCATAGATGTGTCTCCCATCACCCAAATCCCCTGACTATTCTCTCAATTTAGTATTTACATTCTTATATTCAAAGAAAATCAGTAATATCTTTAAAAACTACAAGTCCCTGTCTATCAGCTGTGCACCGTTATGGTGTAAAAATAACCTATTTACGAATTGGATCAAATATAAAAGTCAGCCGAATTAATGTTGTTACTGCAAGGAGACGTATTGTGTGAAGAGAAATTGAAGATGTTGTTTAATTGCTGATATATTTATGATCCACGTCACGTATTCAGTTTCGGTGGCAGTTCTTCCAGTTTGTCTAGAAGTCTTCTAATCATATCGCATAAACACCATATCCCAATGTGCATTGCGGCTAAAACATCCAATCACTGAGCTTCTTTCCTATGAGAGCTGCTCATTGGCGCATGAGGACAAAATGGCCCAATTTTTGAGAGAGCAAAACGTCACAGATTACCCGTCATGCCTAGCTGTCAGAGCAGAAGAACCCGTATGTGCCATGGATGTATAATAAGAACTGGATACAGCGTGGGAGGCGGGGTCTCGTTCTTTCCTATGAGAGCTGCTCATTGGCGCATGAAGTCAAAATGGCCCAACTTTTGAGAGAGCGAAACGTCACAGATTACCCGTCATTCCTGGCTGTCAGAGCAGAAGAACCTGTATGTGCGCTCACAGAGCATGCGCCCCTTAAGGTCCTCCCCCCGAGCTCCCACTCTCGGCTCAATAGAATGAATGGAGACAGAAAATAAATCTAGATTCGGCTTTTAGTGCATTTTAGAACTTTAAGGACCTAATGACCTAAGGGCTACAAAATAGTTCATACTGGGTAGCTTATTTAGTTTAAAAAAAAATATCCGCTGATTTACAGACGCCTCTTTCCCAATGTTAGTCAGTGGGGAAAAGTCTTTCTGGGCCCAGTGACATCACAGACTGATACAGAAATTGTAGTACCGCCGTTTCGACACAACGAATAATTTCATCAGAGTCCGGCGCACTTCCTGGGGGCTTGGTGTGTATCGCAATGATGCTCGAAATGTCCCTTATAGGCCTACGTCTGTTTCCGGTGACTTTATTTTGAAATTCAGTTCCTGAGGAACGGCAAAGAAGCCCAAGATTATAGAATTAAACAAATAAATAAAAACAAGGATAATTGTGTGTTATTGTTGAGTAAATAACAGTGTGTTATTTAGAAAAGAATAACAAATTTGAAGGAAAAAAAGATTTAACCTGTTAAGCAACAAGCCTGTTTTTCATGTTTCAGGCTCGAAAATGACATGCCCAAAACAAATGACTACAACTTAACTTCTAAAAGGGTTATATGAATAATTTCTTTTATCAAAGGAAGGTTACATCTGTGAGTTGGATGTAGAAGTATCAGAATCAATATAGATGTTTTTTATTTGAAAGAAAATTCAGATTTTACATAGTAAAAAACTGTAAATAATAGTGTCCGTCCAAAACTTATTTTGTACAGATAGTGAAAACTACCCTTGGATGATGGGTTAGTAGACTAAAAGCTTTAGGAATCCAAAGTACAACATATAATAAGTACCCTGTATCAAGATTGATGCAAAACAAGTGACATTTGACCTTTTTAGAGAGGTTTTGGGTGAAAATGGTTTTTTTTCCATATCTCTGGCCCCCCTTGGTCGATTTTGATGGTTGATAGAATAGAATAGGGAGGGATGAAACCCTCTTTAATGGTCACACATGCAGAGCACACAGCACACACAGTGACATTTGGCCTCTGCTTTTAACCCATCCTAGTACAAGGAGTCTAGTACTAGGAGCAGTGGGCAGCTATTGTACAGCGCCCGGGGAGCAATGGGAGTGGGGGGGGAAGGGGGGTGTCCGGTGCCTTGCTCAAGGGCACCACGGCAGGGCAGGAGGTGAACTGGGACCTCTCCAAGTAGAAGTCCACACTCCATATTTAGGTCTGGTCGGGGACTTGAACCAGCGACCCTACGGCTCCCAGTCCAAGCCCCTACTGACTGAGCCACTGCCGGTTGACACCTCTTTCTGACCGTTAGAGCCAATAGAATCGAAGGGGGAGTCCCCCACACACACACGTTGTGAAGAGAAGAGGTGGAGCCTTCGCGCATGTAATTTTGAAGCAGAGTGGACCGATCTCTCGCTCTGACATTTGGAAACGAAAAAGCAGTTTTATTGCTTATGGATTATCAGAAATCATTTCAAAGAGGACACAGACACATTGGATTAACCTATGGATTAACTGCAGCATCGTTTTTTTTATCGTTTTAATGCCATTGAAGACCAGTTTTCACCAAGGTAAGCCATGTTAGCGTTTCTAGCTACCTAGCTCCACATGTTATGATGTACGTTTTCGTTTATAGCGTCGCAAATGTTTATCACTGAGTGTTGAGGTGGGCACCCCCAGATTCTGTGTCTCCAGTAGATGCAAAACGAGGGGTTGGCTGTGCATCTAGGATAAGTAATAAGGGAGTTAGGAGTGAGTTTAGGTGCAGAGATAGGTTACATTTTTTCGCTCATGGCTAATTCAGAGGCTGAGTGTTAGCATTGTGTTTTTTTTTTAATTTTTTTTTTTAAAAAGATCAGTTAGCTGAGTTTCTTCCCGTTACATGGATATAAAACATTCATAGTTTATTAAATATTAAGATTCCTTAGACGTTGTTTCCTGCAAATGACGCGTTTATCCGCCCGGTACCGGGGGGGCGGTGCGTAACAGGTTAAAAAATTCAGATTTCAGTATTCTGAGGCTCTGATCCCAATTTATTGTCTTCGCGGACGGCAAAAAAAGTCAGACATTATACGATTTAAAATAAAAACAATAATCGTGGCTTGATATTGAGTAAGAACATGTTTTTATGAACCACACAGCTTCCGGTCTTCCAAGACCCGACCGGACAAAAAGACGTGGTGCAGGCACGAAACACACTACCAATAGAAATACATTGCTTTTAAAATCGTTCTGTGTGACACGAAAAAAAGGGGAAAATTGTGTTGGTGAACACGAATCAATAGATTAAATGTCGTGACTATAACACGAAATGCCGTGAGACTGGGTTGTGTCATCATGCTTTGCTTCACTTACAGGGATGCAAACTTGTCACCTTTCGGCGAAATTCGCCGTTTTGAATCCAAAATAGGTCGTTTGTGTGATTCATGTAGATCTGCAATACAAATATTTTTGGGGTATGGGGGGGGGTCTGGGACCCGGAGTAATCTGCGGCCGCGAGCTGTTATGTGCCATCATGACACGCATGGTGTTCTTTTTTTATATTATAATGAAGCGCGAGCTGTGTGCTCGAGTCTTCCTGCCTGTCGGCTCTGCTCATGGATGTATAATAAGGCCCTGCTGCTCCGGGATGAGGGTCTAGCTTCAGCAGCTACATTACCTACGGGTGCGTTCGTTAATATTAACTGTGTGGTCCGGAGTTACTGTGGCACAGACTGGACTGCTGGTGAACAGCTGTTAGAACGGGCCGTTCAGGTGTTCAGAGCAGAGCTCCCTGTCGGAGCGGCAGAGCGTGATGTGCACTGAAAAGTTTTTCTGTCGCAATATTATTTAAGGAATCGTTATAAATAGTAATATAGCTGATTCACCATCCCCCACCCCCCTACTGTATGTTGATTTTGTTTGCCTACATGTAAATGGGTGGCATTTAGTACCCCCCTCTGAGTGAATACCTGTTGTACCTGTCCGGGGCTAAGCCCATAGGACGATGCTCTGATGTCAACCCCCTCCCCCCGTTGACAATTCACGAGCGTCTAACTCTCCCCCCCCCCCCCCCCCCCGTCGCACCTTCTAATGCCCCTTTCACACCGGCGCTTTTTCCTGTTCACACCGCAGCGGCGGCGCGTCATAGCTCCGGAATGCGGTTCACTTCCAGCTCCAAAAAATTGTCGGTCCAGAGGCAAGAGCTTCAGAGCTATGACGCGGCGTCGCTTACGTCTCTCTTACGTCGAGGCGTGCAGGAAACCTTACTTTGACCATCCGTTCGCTGTTATTGATCATTGTGGAGTTTTGTTTGTTATTATAGCAGCTATCGGATGGAATCAATACATGGGCTGCACAGGTTGTCATGTCCGACTATCACAAGTAGAATCATAATGAAAAATACGCCGGTAAAATGTGCCTGTAGAAAACGGCTTAGCAAGTAGTCAGTTTAGCTTCGGTTGCTATGCTAACATCACCCATGTTATACCAGAGAAACTTTCATAACAGCGTTGTGATGCCAAACAGCGTCAATTCAGACTGACACACATTCACTTAAGGGGAACTGGGGATATGTATCAGCTGCTTGTGTGACAGTCAGACAGTGAATACTTTAGAGCCGTGTGAGCTAACCCGGAGCTAACGGGAGAATAAACTCCCGTGGAGAGCAGCCAGCACTGCAGCGGTCGGTAAATGCCGCTGAAACACATTAATAAACAATGAACCACGGCACTCTGGAGAAAAGTATAAGGTTGGAGAAGTCGTTATTTAATTTAATCTGGCTTCGTATGATTAAAAGCAACACGATCATCGACCCGACGCAGTCCCCGGCCCGTTGTTGTTGTGGGAGAAAATCAGCGACGTAAACTGTGACGTCATGACGCAGCAGCGGCAGCTCTGGGCGGTGTGAACAGAGCGGGAGCTGAAAAGGGAAACCGGAGCTGAACCAGAAAAGCTCTCGCTAGGAGCTAGAAAGGGAAAAGCGCTGGTGTGAAAGCCGCATAACAGAGCCCACCCACATATCAAATCCCAATTTAACCCCTGGCCTCTGGAGCAGAAATGAAAGAGTTTTAAAAATGTTTACGTTTTGGTAAGTTTTTAGGGAAATGTTGTAATATTGCAACGTTGGCCTTAGGTGGGAGCAGAATTTCTGTATTTCTACTCACATTGTCTGAATAAATATATTGAACAACTAAGGGTTAATTTGCAGGATTGATTGCTTACTTAGCCCTATATCAGTATATAGCATGAATAATAATCACACATCACTCATATTTGTTATGAATAATCATTTATTAAATAGTAAGTCGCTTTGGATAAAAGCGTCAGCTAAATTCAATTTATGAAAGCCTCACTCAGGATTTTTTTAACAAGTGTTTTTATTGCTCTTGGGGCATTAAAAACAAGATTTTAACTTTAGTTTTTTATATAATATCTGCATTTTCTCTTGTGAAAAACTAAGTCTTAGTTTGGCCATAGTTATTTAATATATAGCGCCATCTCCTGGTTAAATCCTGAAATTGAAAATCTGGCAACGCCCTCTTGGAAAATAGTGGGAGGGCTTAACATTCCCAGATACTGGTCTTTGGCAGGTCTTAGGCAGGTAACTGGCTGGTAGTAGGCAGGAAGCTGTATGCTGGAGTCTGAAATAAGATGCTCCATCTGTAGTTTGAATGACTGTATACTGTAGGGTAGCTTGTGAATTTACTCCAGGTGGAACTAAAGTCTGATTTAACACTTGATTATATTTCACATCATTCATCCACATCTGTAAAGTAACTAAAGGTATTAAATACATGTAGTGGAGTAAAAGTACACAATTTACCTCTGAACTGTAGAGGAGAAGAAGAACAAAGTAGCAAAACATTGAAATACTTAAATAAAGTACAAGTATCTCAAAATTGTACCCAAGTATAGTACTTGAGTTTATGAACTTAGTTACTTTACACCAGTGGCTATAAAGATAGAAAGACTAAGCCTTGCACAGAGGCATGAAAATACATTTTCAAAATGCTCAACAGTGCTGCCAAAATTATAAACTGACTGCTACACAATTAAAATACATGCTTTTATATATTTCTATTAGATGTGACTCTTTGGCATTGCTGTTATTATTAACTGCTTTAGTTGTTCTGACTGCTAAAATCCTCTGTTATTCCTCATTTTAAAGCCGATATTCCGTGGGGTCGGGGGGCTCGGCCTCGGATCCTTGTCACCTTTTTCATACCTGATGAGTTTGCATCCCTGACTTAACATGAATTCACAATGAGCTACACATATTCTTTGTAGTGGTGCTCCACAGAAACTCCTGTACCCCATTCACACCAACGGTGTTTCGGGGCCGGTTCGGTGCTGGTGCTTGAAAAGCACCGGGTTTTCCTGTTCACACCGCAGCGGAGCAGCCTCTAAGCTCCGGAATCCGGTTCGTTTCGAGCACCAAAAAGTTGTCCGTCTAGAAGCAAGAACCGCATACGTCACGCTTACGTCGGAGGGGGGCGAGATTAACCTGAGCTAACAGTTAAGGCGAGTACGGCAAATAAAAGTTGTAACAAGCAGTAGTGCTGAGCAAAGTGACTAGAACGCAACCACACACTTGTTAAAAAAAAACACACTTTATAAAGTCAGGCAACACTAACCAGGCTTCGTGTGATTCTGTTTATTTGTACCTTACTTTGACCATCCGTTCGCTGTTATTGATCATTGTGGAGAGCAGGCAGACGTTTTGTTTGTTATTATAGCAGCTATCGGATGGAATCAATACATGGGCTGCACAGGTTGTCATGTCCGACTATCACAAGTAGAATCATAATGAAAAATACGTCGGTAAAAAGTGCCTGGAGAAAACGGCTTAGCAAGTAGTCAGTTTAGCTTCGGTTGCTATGCTAACATCACCCATGTTATACCAGAGAAACTTTCATAACAGCGTTGTGATGCCAAACAGCGTCAATTCAGACTGACACACATTCACTTAAAGGGAACTGGGGATATGTATCAGCTGCTTGTGTGACAGTCAGACAGTGAATACTTTAGAGCCGTGTGAGCTAACCCGGAGCTAACGGGAGAATACACTCGTGGAAGAGCAGCAGCACTGCAGCGGTCGGTAAATGCCGCTGAAACACATTAATAAACAATGAACCACGGCACTCTGGAGAAAAGTATAAGGTTGGAGAAGTCGTTATTTAATTTAATCTGGCTTCGTATGATTAAAAGCAACGCAGTCCCCGGCCCGTTGTTGTTGTGAGGTGAGCTCCGTTGGGGAGAAAATCAGCGACGTAAACTGTGACGTCATGACGCAGCAGCGACAGCACCAGTCGGGCTCTGAGCGGTGTGAAAAGAGCCGGAGCTAAACCGAAGTACCGGTTCTGAACCTGAAAAGCTCTAGCACGGAGCTTGAACCGGAGTTGCGTTGGTGTGAAAGGGGTACTGGAGGAAACAAAGACATGCTGAGTGAAGTGGATAGGTTGTGTGGTTTTACCGTTCAATGCCCTGTAGTTTCATCCTGTGTCTGTCTGACATCAGCAGGCCTCCACCCCACGCCGCCTGCAGGCAAAATCAAAGAGATTCCTCAAAAACATGATCCCACACTGCGTTCCCACCCTCCACCCAATGAGAAAGCTCTATTTATTAAAACATAAAAGCACAGCAGCCATGACTAAACACGGGTCAGTCAGTGCACTACCTTAACTGACCTAGTAACTGACTGACTATAAACCAATATAAAAAACCTTTAAAAACACGCTTTAATCTGTTTTACGGGTATTAAACTGTTATTATTAAGTGTTCTAGTAGCATACAGTCTGAGACGGTAGTATATATATATATATATATCCTTCTGCTGGATGATTACATTAGTTTTGGTATAAAAAAGAATGAAGGGGTTTAACTTCTAACAAATAATTTATACACTGTGGTATTACTACTTGTATTTGAGCTAAAGATCTGAGTACTTCCTCCACCACTGCCTTACATCAACATGCATCCACAGTGTGTGTCTGTGGCAGATGTCAGCGATGGCGTTGAGAGGATCGAAGGCTCCGTACACCGTGGTTCCTGCTGTCGCATTCACATAGAATGGAACCAAACCCTGAGGAGAGAAAACTCAAGTCAGTCTCTTCATGTGGATAAACTGATCCAAAGTAAATTAAAGTATGTCATGATACCGTGGGATAACAGAAAATGGGGACCCATTGTTCTCGAACAGGACCTTCTTTCGTTATTTTTTAAATCTTTCTCCATTCATACTACCTTTTCTTTAGCTGCAACAATGGAAGACTCGAGGTCAGCAGGAATCATTTTCCCTCTGAAAAATAATCGATTTTGTATTTAAACTATGTATTATTGTTTTTAACTAACCCAATAGAGTTGTGAGAAATCTGTTGACATAAAACATTTAATTAAAAGTCAATGTTAAAAAAAAAAGGTATTTTTATAGATAAAGGGGCAGTACAAATGAAATATATTGATGGATTCTAGCCCACTGCACGCACGCACGCACGCACGCACGCACGCACGCACGCACGCACGCACGCACGCACGCACGCACGCACGCACGCACACACACACACACACACACACACACACACACACACACACACACACACACACACACACACACACACACACACACACACACACAAAGCTGCAACAGGTGAGCAAACATTTAACAGTCTTTTGTGGTGCATTAGCACTAGCAACAGCCTATCTGACCCACCTTTCATCACATTTCACCACGAACACATTCTCGCTGCCCATCCCCAGCACGGCTGCAGATTTCTTCACTGAATAGTGACTCTGAATGGGAGAAAAAACATCCATTCATCTTAATTTGTCCCATTTCAAAGACAAGACTATGGTGTAGCCTCAGCTGAAAGCACGGAGTATTGTTTGGTTCTAAGCAGAAGACCCAGGTGTACAGATGCCTCTATCCAGAGCTTCAGCTTTTTGATCACAGAAATGCCGTCCTGACATTCTGTCTTTCTGTTCAGATTAAAGGTTGGCGAGCAAGGTAGGACCGAGCAATATGAAGTATATCAAATATCACAAAATGTTTGACAAAATGTTCGACATTGTGATGATATTGTAGCATTGTAGGAAACATAATTTGATTCTTTACTATAAGTAAAGAATCATTTACCACACTGTGAAAATGCTCAAGTTCAAGTTAAAGTACTGCATCAAGAATGGAAATGGACATTTTAATATTAGATGTAACTGTAATAGAAATGTCCATTCAATGTGTTTGGCTTATTCAAGTGTCTTTTACATGAGAGTGGGAAAGTACTGAGTCCCCCTTTCCAACATAATACAACGCTAGGTTTAATTTACGACTAACTGTGTAGCTCAGTATTACCAGATAGGGAATTGTTTTTGCACTTGGTTGGCCATCTCAAGGACGCAGGTGTTTCAACACACACACTCTTCATTCAGACTTTCAGACCCGTGAACATTTGTTGGCCATGAGGGTTGTGCAATAGGTCGCCATTGTCAGTATGTCCGTCTGTGTATTGTGTTTGTTCAAACGGTGTATGACTGATGATATGTGTATGTCTCTTAATGTCCACTATGTTTGTATATGTACATGTATGCGGAACTGCAGGACGGAGTCCAGAACAAATTTCCTTACGAGGACAATAAAGTACATCGTATCGTATACATTGTGTAACATGTGACTCTCTGTAATGTTCGGATCCATTACTGCGCAGAGAAGCCTATTACATTTTCAAAGACAATCTGTCTAATTTCTATGAGATATTTCCACCACACGAGTTTGCTGAAAGAGAAAACAGCACAAATGAATTGAAAATGTGATTTAATTAATTGTTAATAGTCATTGTTGTCCACAAATAGATTTTCTTTTAATGGCGGCATGTAAAAGGTCTGCCTATGCCATCGCCAACATTCTCAAACATAAAAGAAACCTTAGTTCATATCTCATCGCTGTAAGGTTTCAGCGTTAGAGTTATTTTAGTTTATTGTTTTGTGTTTATTCTTGTGACCTTGCATTTTATTCTGGTGTTGACTCTACCATCTCTTTTCAGGTGTCTACACTTCCTGTCTTTGTGTGTCACCTGCCAGCTTGATTGTGGTCTCCTGCTCCTGATTGTTTTCACCTGTGCCCCATTACCTATTGTGTGTATATATAGCCCTTCTCTCCTTTTGTCTTTTGTCGGTTCGTCTTGTCTAAACACCAAGTCCATGTCTGTATTCCCTCCTGTACTATTGAGCAACCTAGTTGAACCTAGAGAACTTTTGAGTGTCCTAGTTGATCCTAGTTATCTTTTCTTTGAAAAGTCTTTTGTAAAATAAAAGATATTTTTGAAGTCAAAACCGAATCGTGCATCTGAGTTCCTGTGAGTCCTTCGTGTCAATCACTCCACGGTGGATCAGAGGGACGTTGCATTTGTTCACAGCTTTACAATCCACTATGTAAGAAGTTCTATGTTTTATAAAATAATGGTTTATTATTACATGTATTCAGTACATGCAGTGCATGGCCACGTAGCACCCCCACGCAGGCTCCGATCCAGAGCCAGTTTTGTGCAGACAGTCCTGCCCCTCCAGACAACCAAACAAGCAGCAAGGACCAACATCTGGGAAGATGAATGGCAAAGACATGACACACGAGCTCATGAATGGCTGGACAGAGGAATCACACCAACGGAAAGCCTCGCTAGTGGCCACGACCTTGGCTGGACAACCTGGAAGTCACTTAATAGACTGCGTGTGGAACAGGGGAGGTGCAAAGCACTGATGAAAGTGTGGAACTACACCACAGAAGACACGTGCAGCTGTGGATCAGTGCAGACAATGTCCCACCTACTGGAATGTGCCTGTGCCCGATACTGGCAGAACGACATCTGAGATTGCTACGGACTCGAAGAAGAAGTAAAAAAACAATTGTCATTTTAAGATGTATAGTTGTTCTTGCCCTGGCTAAAGCTAGGATGTGTATGTAGGGTCAGATTCAGGACACTGTAGAGATGCTGTATACCAGGGGTCTCCAACCTTTATTCATCTGAGAGCTACTTAAAAATGAAAGTTAACAAGAGCTACTTGCATCACATTGCTTTCATTTATTCACATAGCACTCATCAGTTGAATTAAGCTACTTTTGTACATGTGTGAGATTGCAATACCCAAAGCTTATCACAAATCTTAAAGGGGACCTATCATGCAAAATGCACTTTTGTACGTCTTTTATACATGAATATGTGTCCCCGGTGTTCCAGGGAACTCACCAAGTGTCAGAAAACACGACCCTTTCTATTTTCCTCCATACCCAAATCTCTAAAAAAGGGGCTGCAACGGATCTGATAAAAACTGATCCAGATTTGAACACTGTCCTGACGTCAGGACAGTGGCGCTACGGCTATTGCGCCAACTCCACCAATCAGGAGGAGACAGCCACGGCCATTGCCATTTGAAAGCGCTGGAGACGCTGTAGTACATATGTCAGGCCTGTAGGTGGTGCTGTTCTCACAGAATCAGCCCTTGCAAAAACAGAGCTAAAAAAGTGCAAATTGAGTGAAATGAGGCATGGCTAAAATGCATGATCTGTTTGGTATTTTGAAAAAAAAAAAGTATAAATATGCCTTATATAGGTATGGTCCTACACTATATTATTCAAATATAGCATGATAGTTCCACTTTAACTTCACATCAAAGTCCAAGAAAACGACAATTTCTCACAGATTATTATGGCCCACATAGTAAGTACATCACATTTCCATTACAGTTTAGGAACTGGGGTAGTTACTATAGTAACGCAGTGTAGGCGGGGCGATCGGCTGTTAGGCGGGCGGAGCGACGCTGCGTAAAACTGCCGTGACGTCATCTTCAATGTGAACCACAACTTCAAAACATCAGCCGTTAGCTGTTAGCACTTAGAGCTCACAGCTCCTCATATCTGTTCAGAAACTAGACAAAAGTTAAACAAGTACAAACCACAGACTGTCTGTGTCATGGCGAATACAGTCACTGGTTTATTTATGTCTGTAGGCCGTTGTTGTGAGTGTGGACGGAGCATATACAACGTTAGCTTAGCCTGTTCGATCCGATCTCCATTAAAAAAACACACATTTTAAAAGATTTTTAGTCTGCCGTCTTATCTGCAGACCGGTATCAGTATGTTGTTACTTCGGCATCATTTTGAAACGTGTATTACAATTAAATCACGGTAAAATATGTTCATTTTGTTGTAGTTGTAGCCCCCTTGCCAGCGATTCTCTCTGACCATTCAGCAGTCAAGAGTGTTTACGTCACTAGTTTAGCATATTCAGCCCGGTTGTTGGCCCTGTAAGAACCTCGATTTTGGAGGGCCAGAAAAAATGTGAAAAAGTAGCCCTGTGTCGGAACTAGCCCTAGTGGAAATGCAAAAAACCCGGCCCGCTTAAACCGTGCTACGTGCTGCAGTGGAAAAGCGCCATAATAGAGTCATTTAAATGTTCATCAGTCAGTCTTGTTCTGTATTTAGATTTCATGACATTCATGTCAGAAAAAGCTGCTTCACAAAGGCATGTAGAGACAAATAAAGCAGACATTTTCAGTGCTGCTTGGTGATCTTATAGTTTTCTGGGTCTACAAGGCTCCAGAAATGTTGTGAGTTTTGCCGAGACTTAAGCTGAACATGATTTTTTGAGATTTATAACCTCCATCTCCACAGGATTGACACTGAACAGTTCAGCCATCTTCTTCTTCTTCTTCTTCTTCTTCTTCTTCTTCTTCTTCTTCTTCTTCTTCTTCTTCTTCTTCTTCTTCTTCTTCTTCTTCGTCTTGACATGAAATTATAAACCATAATAAATCAATTGTATAGGTCTAGCCTCCCTATATCTGTGTGTGAAATTGTTCCATCCTCAAAAACAAAAAACTAATACTTCTGCAGTATAGCTGCAGCTTCTAGCAACAGTCTTCTGTTAAAAAAAGGACACTGAAGGTCCTGAATGTGGCATCACAAACATGACATGAGTCTGAACACAGCAGACAACAGGAGTATTTACAACAGCATATAAAAACAAAAATACTGCATGTGGGTGCACACTTATTCTCTGTCTTACTGTTACATAAATCCCATGAATGTATGAGATTAAGTTAGCTTTATCATCTCAATCAGTGAATAATAAAGTTTCTATCAGGTTACTATCAGCCTGTCACTCATTATTTTTAGGGAGGGGGCGGGGTTTGGAGGAACAGAGAAGACGGTGATCGCGGAAGCTTTTTTCCTCCTGCCTTCACAAACGTTACACAAGTATTTATCAACTGAAAATAGCAAGAGGACATTCATACCAGGGATGCAAACTTGTCACCTTTCGGCAAAATTCACCGTTTTGAATCCAAAATAGGTCGTTTGTGTGATTCATGTAGATCTGCAATAAAAATATTTTTGGGGTATGTGGGGGGTCTGGGACCCGGAGTAATCTGCGGCCGCGAGCTGTTATGTACCATCATGACGTGCATGGTGTTATTTTTGTATATATTATAATGAAGCGCGACTGTGTGCTGGAGTCTTCCTGTCTGTCGGCTGAACTCTGCTGCTCCGCGATGAGGGTCTAGCTTCAGCAGCTACATTACCTACGGTGCATTCGTTAATATTAACTGTGCGGTCCGGAGTCACAGTGGCACAGACTGGACCGCTGGTGAACAGCTGTTAGAACGGGCCGTTCAGGTGTTCAGAGCAGAGCTCCCTGTTGGAGCAGCAGAGCGTGATGTGAACTGAAAAGTTTTTCTGTCGCAATATTATTTAAGGAATCGTTGAGCTAGCTAACATACAGCTAGATACATTGTCACTATCTGCT